CCCTGTTGACTGACAAGTGTAGCACCTGCGGGGTTGCGGCTGACTCCATCCCCGTGGTCTCTCACTGAGGGCCTTGATGAGGGCATCTATTTGCTGCTGTTGGTGCTGCAGCTGTTGCCCCTGCTTCTCGAGTAAAGCCTTCATATCACATGTACTATCTGCAGCCTTTACTTCCTGCACTGCAGCCTCCTTCCGGAGATTTCCTTGTCTCCGACCCAGCCACTCGATAGCGCGATCCCTGACATCAAAGAAGGACAGGGTGGGGGCTTCCATATTGAGCCTGCGTAGCTCCCGCTGTAGGCCCTCATCGCGAACTGCCTCCGCGAGTCGGCCCTTGAGTGTCCTTTCTCTAGATGCCTCACAAGCCTCATCTAGTTTCGCCATCCTGGTGAAGAGCTCCACCAGCTCAAGCGAACAAGTGAGTAGGTCTTCCTGTGGTCCCTGGCGGTATGAGAAAAATTTCTGCTGCAACTGTGGGAGTGTGTCGCCATCCCCAAAGACCTTTAGTAGTACCCTGAAGATTTCCTCGGGTTCGGCTGCCACCTCGTCTCCTCGCCCTAGTACCTCCTGACGGGCCTTCCCAGCAAGGTGGTCGAGGATGAACGAAGCACCCTCTTCAGTGGTCAGCTGCCTGGATGCCAGTTGTCCCCTGACATCGCTCACCCACTCCCGGATGGACGGGTCTCCGGACTTCTCTGGGGCATTCCGGAAACGCTCCAATCTCCGTCCTGAGGCAACATAGATCTGCTTGGGCGCGGTGGATGATGGGGTGGATGACGGGGTGGATGAACTGCCAACTGCACTCTTCTCGTGGGCCTGCAGTGCTGCCTTCACGGCCTCCAGCTCCTTACGCAGCTCCTCCAACTCCATCTTCCTCCAGTGAACTTGCTGCCTCAGTTATAGCTCGGCTTGTCAACCAGAGAAGCTGAAACTCGTAGCTCACCTCACTGGGCTAGGGGCTGTAGCGTTGAGCACACCATCCTGTCTACGACGCCAAATGTAACAGTGAGAAGNGGGCTAAATGTAAATGACCTGTCACATTACAACCAAATATTGAAAGAATGTACACCGTGTCTCTTTGGAGGGGCTTATTGACTATTCTGTACTATAATAACTGGAAAGGGCCTGAAATTTCCCCTGTTTCTTCTTTCAGAAAAGCTCCCCCGGACGCCGGGGAAACGGAAATTAGCAAGTTCCAGTTAACAGTTCTGTCTGTTCGTCCTCATTCTGGTAGTTTTTCTTCTTTGTGTCCCGCAGTTTTGCAGATGTTTGATCTCTCTTTTACTGAATCATAAGATCGTCTCTGTGCACAAAACACTGCCGCACTCACTGGCAACGGACAAACTGTATTATCCTTTAGAAAATAAGAAAACGTATTCACTTTTTGGAATTGGTTTTTCTATCTTGGATAGATTTTCTTCCGTTTGAGCCATTTTTACTGCGAAACCGGCCCTCGAGAAGATATTAAAGGGTGTTTTCCACCAAATGGTCGTATTTCTGCGCCAGCCCACAGGTTTTCTACAATAAGGCAGGCCACAATTAGGAAAGATCATAGAAATATATATATGAATTCCGACGTTGCTATTTTGGGGGTATCTTCAGGGAAAGGCGAATAAAAAAGTTTTTCGAGGCTAACCCTCATAAAATTGAAGCCAACAATTATCTTCTGGCTATAATCCTGAATTTCCAGTGAAAAAACAGAGGCCAACCTCTTCACGAGAGTCAACAGAGTGCTCATCAAGTTCGGGCCGACTGGATCATGATTTTGCACTGTTTCTATCTATGAGTGCGTATTTCACCTGTAGTCTTGCGTTATATTCTGCATTATCATGAAGTGCGCCCTCAATGTTTTGACCAAGATTACGTTTGGTGCGTTGTTTGGCCGGGCTAGCTGGTGTGCGCGGCGCTATACAATCTTTGGTGCGAAGTGGCAAAGTGTGTAGGTAAGTGTAACGCAAACGCATGTATTTTTCTGGCTTCTCAATGATTTTTCATGGGAAAGATTTAAGTGACGGTCATGTATGTAAACACTGATGTAACCTTCATCATGTGGTTCATCCTGGGCTAGACCAGCCACAGACAGATAGGCCAAAAAACAAACTGCCTAAGCTGGTAGTAATAATATACATGTACAGTAGCTACGATAGATAGTAACCATGGTAACGATAGGCTCTGAAAGCCCCATACATGCCGTTTTATCACGGTGCAGACCAGTGAGTGAATTTTATCTGTATTATTTTGTCAGCAGCATGTCATCTTCTGACACATCCCGCTATCTTGGTGGGGCATGTGGGATCATAGTTAAAGGTAGAGAAAGAGCGGTATCTTGCAAGGATTGTAACAAGGAAGGAAATATGTCACACGGGGGTCACAGCTAACGAGGCGCAGAGCATTGTGGTTAAAAACAGGGGTGTGTGAAACTGGCGCAATGCATTACACAAGCGGCGGTTATCAATTTGATATTTTTTCGTTTTCTTTCTCATTGCAGAAAATATTCTCACTACACTTCATTCATTCATCCATAATTGATCAAGATAACTAGTGATATTGCTAAAAGACGTGATGAGTGATATTAAGTGAGAAGATAAATTACCACACTGTGATTGTACGGAGGTCATGTTTTTATCGTATTGCCAACACTTTGCCCATGCCAAAGCATTGCCATTGGTGAACCAAAAATTGAAATAAACGCTTTGCTATCAGGAAGTGATAACCTCGCAGTCACAGCTAGGTCATGTGCAATGTTAGCCAATCATAGTGCAAAGCCATCAGCTTTTCCCAGTGACCTGTTTTGGCACTGAGCAATGAGCAAAACTTACAGAATGCTGGTGCGACACAAGTAATCCATGCAAATTGATTTGTTTTATGCAAGAACAATTTGTTTTTCTGTTTTTTTTTAATGAAAAGTGAATGTTGATTTTCAAAGTTTACCTTGACCTACCCACCAACCAACTATTTCGAAAAAAATTGAAATTAAAAATCATAATTTTGGAATGGTTGCTTAGTTACACTTACTTAGTTGATGTTCTGTTTTTAATAAAATGTTTTCTACTCTCTGTTAAATCCATTCCTTCACTGTTTCGTATTGACTTTTCTTATAAAGCATGGTTAAGATACATACAGTACATCTGCAAGACCAGACATTAGTTTCCTTTTCCTTGTACATGTTGTATCAGCAGTTCAAGACATGGTCTCAACAGTCCCAATTCCAGTTGAGGATACAAGTCTTTCAACTAACTGTACTTGTAGATAGTGTCTCAAGAGTTCACAACCAGAAGGAACCACCCAGTTACCGGTTCATGCCAGTCAAAATGCCACAGAAAGGGTATGTGTATGCATCTGTTTTCTTTTGTCATAAACTTCAGTTAAGGGCCACCCCGGTTACATCCTACTTGCTGATTATCTAGCTGCTTCCATTCAAACTACATGTAGGCTGAGGCCTTATGTTCTAGGCACATTTGTGATTCGCTCCAGGAAAAGGTGATATAAGTTGCCAAAAAAAAATCACGTTATATACATGACTAGAAAGCCCACATTGTAAGCTTTCATTTGATATGACTTCATCATGTGACACGTCACGTGACATAAAAGGTGCATTCTTTAAAGCTTTTGGCTCCTGAAGTACATGTACCATTGTGTTGAAACTTTGCAGGTAACCAGAAGTGAAGTGTTATAGTTGAAAGTTGAATTCATGTAGCAATGACATCATCAGGTGAAAAGTCATATGACATTAAAGGTGAACCCTAATCAAATCTCATCTGGGATAAGTTGTGGCAAAATTGTGGGGAAAGTGAATCCTTTCCCCACAATTTCCCCCACAAGTAGTTGTGCATTTATTGAAAGGAAGTTGTGAAGGAATTTTGCATTAGTGTAGGTCACTTACAGTGAAGGACTGTTTACATTACTAGGCAGCTTGTAATAGGTGATCAGTATTTAAGTGGTTTGCATTTTTCAGAGACTGACCTTGGATCACTCAACACACTGACTTTCTCTTTTTCGGTGTTTCACATCAAAAGATTCTAAAGTGTAAAAGCCACATCATGCTTAACTTTCCATACACCGTATATTATGCCATGATTTCTTTTCCTTGGAAAAAAATCTGCAAGATTGTTTGAAATACAAGGCCTTCACATTAGTGATCTTTTCTTGTTAATGTCCTTTTGCTTGAAATGCCATAGCTTTCCAGCTGGCGAAAAATAAACATAAGGAAGATTTGTATGTTGCGAAAGGGTAAAAGTTTCTTATTCCAAATGACATGAATGATACAGTCAGAGTCAAAAAGCTCTCTGCAGGGAGTGGGATATTACATGTACAGTCCTTTGCCTGTCCTTCAGTGGCCTGCCTGGCCAAAACCACAAAGGGGAGGGAAAATGTGTATACAATACTGATAACTTCACTCTAGGAAGATTGTGGGAAGTTTTTCAGGAGCCTTAAAAATTCTGCTGCGACACTCTTTTGCAGTTTTTCTACAACTTTTTCCGGACAAGATTTAAGATTTTTCACTGTATCCCCTGAAGTACATGTATACCTCAGATTAGGTTGAAACTCTGCAGATAACTTGAAAGGGACATCTCAGATGAAAATTGAGATCACTTGATGATGACATCATTAGGAGATAAATCACGTGACATTAAAGTTGCAAAGCCCTGTATCCCCTGAAGTATACATGTCCATGTATGTCCTCCTATTATGTTGGAATCTTGCAGATTGCTAGAAAGAGAAGTGTTACAGACAAAAAAACTGACATAATGTGATGATGACATCTTCAGGTGACAAGTCAGGTACATGTATATCTGTATAAGTCCTGACGAAAATGTCCTTTTTAGGTAGAGACTTTGCATATCACTAGAAAGGGAAGTGTTATAGACCATAATTGATGTTGTGACAATGTCTTGGTGACAAGTCACATGACAATTAAGGTTCACCATTTCAATCATAACTTCTGAAATGCAACATTGCAATCAGTATATCTCCTGCAGTAGTGCTGTGGACTTTTAATAAAGAGCAGTGTTTGAATGCCATTGATTCCAGCGTCCTTTCTTTCTGTTTCGAGAGAGAGTTTCCAGAAAAAGCTTGGTTTCTTTTTAGCTGTTTTGGACACCTACTGAAACAGCTTTTGTTTTTCATAAGATTTTTTTTGGGGGGCTCCTCCGCAAGTTGCAGAAAATGCAATGTTTTTGTTCTATTTTTTTGTTCTTCTCCATAAAAGTCCCTTCACATTGTACATGTTTTTCTCACCTGGACATAAGTCCCTTTGCAAACATGTATCCTCGTCAAACTTACATAAACCAAAGAACTTAACCCCTTCGCACCGGGAGGCAGCTATAGCCACCGTAAAAATTGAGATCCTCAGCCCGCTTTTCAGCTATTATTCTCGGCCCAAAGACGGTGATAGCGAAGACGGTGAAAGAAGGCAGACCCTGGCTCTTGTATATATGGTAATCGGTCTTTGTGCGTAGCCCAGAAATGAAAAGACTGATTTTGCATCATAATCACCAGCTTCACAATAGTCCCCACTTTAAAAAGAGGCAATGGGGATGTGGAAGGGTGAGTAGAGCCGCATGCCACCGAACAATCAGCCTTTTCACCGTGTAATTCAAAGCATGCAGAGCACGCAGGGCCACAAACCGAGAATTTGTGGTTTGGCAGGTGGCCTTGGTGGCCTAGCGAGGCTTGAATTCTTGGAGTCAGCTTTCGGGAAGAAATTCCCGTTGTCAAGGGGTGAAGCACAGATGTGCCTCGAAGTATGACGTCATGATTATGTCATCGTTTTATTTATTTTCGATTTTGAGTATTTATTTTTGCTTATTGAGTTTGTACACAAATTCAAAGTGCTATTTTGTCACTTTGTGATCTTCAACCTTCATAAAAGTTATACCAATCACAGATCCTGTTACAAAGATGATACCAATAAACATGTAATGATGCCATGATGATGTCAGTTTATTTATTACTGATTTTTGAATATTTAGTTTTTGCCTGTTGAGTTTGTACACAAATTTAAGGTGCTATTTCTGTCACATTGGGACCTTTAATCTTCTTCAAAATCATACCAAGTACTGACCGTAATACAAAAATGATACCAAAATAACGATGTCACGATGATGTCATCAAGTGATTTATCATCGGTTTTTAACCACTACCAGCCGGGGAC